ACAAGAAAACATGATGGGCTCTGTTTGTGAATCTTGAGATCAAGACTTTCAGGGCTCAAGTATTTTTCTAGAGGGCAGCACAGTAGCAATAATTTATATTGACAAAATGTACAACACAATCTTATGCATGTTTACGCCGAAGAAGAAAACCCCACTGAGTCCTGTTGGGCTTACTCCCAAGTAGTTGCATGGAGGATTGTAGGCGTGTGAAAGGTCTGCCTCCAAAACAGTCAAAATGCCTTTAAATGCCTTCTGTGAAAATAAAGCTGTCTGTCAAGTGGGGAACCATTTTAGTTCAAGGTATGGGCAACCTTTCGAGGGTCACATGACTATGTTGGACAAGTTGAGAGGCAGAAAAGGCCAGAGCAACAAATGTAAATGTTACCTATGTATAGAAGGCTAGTGTCTAGACCAGGGGTCAGCAAACTTTTTCAGCAGGTCCACTGTCCCTAAGACCTTCTGGGGGGCCAGACTATATTTGGGGGGGGGGGACTGAACGAATTCCTATGCCCCACAAATAACCCAGAGATGCATTTTAAATAAAAGGACACGTTCTACTCATGTAAAAACACACTGATTCCCAACATTTCTCCAATGAAAATTGGGACATCCTATTCCATCATCATCATCATTTTGTTATTTACACCCCACCCATCTGACTGGATTGCCCTAGCCACTCTGGGCAACATATTAAAACATCTATTCCAACATATATGCTTCTAACATATATAAAAACATAATAAAACATTGAACATTAAAAAAACAAAAACTTCCCTTGTACAGGGCTGACTTCAGATGTCTTCTAAAGGTTGTATAGTTACTTATCTCCTTTGCTCAGTGGTCTCATAACTCCATATCCTGCAACATTTCCCCGATGATTTATAAAAGAATGGAAATAGTTTCTTGAATACTTACAGATAAATTGTAAACAGATAAGATCATTGGCAGGATTATTGTAATAACCTGCAGGTTTATAAGAGTATGTATTTAAAGTAGATGAATAAATGAGCAAATTAGGTTAATTTGGATATGCAGAGGATATTAAAAATAAATTTAAGGAACCACAGAAAGGGGGGGGGGAGGAAGTCAAGTTTTGAAATGTTAAAATGATTGTAGAATTAGTGAAATGTATAAACTTGAATTTTTTTTTTTAAAAAAAAAAACCTTGGTGGGAAAACAACAACATTTCCCCAATGAAACATCCTAAGGAAAAGCAGGCCATTCTGGGATCGAATCAGAAACCGAGATAGCTTCTATAAATCCAAGACTGTCCTTGGAAAATAGGGGTGCTTGGAGGGTCTGGGAACAGCAATACTCAAAAATGAAGAAAGCAGAGATAAAAATGACAGAAAATAGTAGCAGAAGCATTATGCGAATGCACCTCCAGACTGGTGGGTTGTGTTTTTTTGCAGGTGTCTTCTGCAACATGTCATGGATTCAATAATGTTATTGCATCAGCATACAATTGATGAGATAATTATGAGATATAAATTGTATACTACACCCATCAGTACGCTATTTAGGGATTTGCTGTGCAGACATGCATATTAACTCCCGGGGCTGGCCCACCCAAGATGCAATGTGAGGCAACCGCCTCAGGCGGCAGGATTCACAGGGGCAACAGATTCTGATGTAGATCTTCACTTATCCCTTCTTGCCTGGCAGGGAACAAGGCTCCATTTTGTGGTTTGCCTCCAGTGCCGAAATGACTTTGGCTGGCCCTGTTAACTCCAAAGTGAAAGAAATGTGAGATAGCTTTGGAGTCCTTGAGCAAAGCCTGGGAATGCAAAATAATGGCAAACGAAATTGCATTTGACCGAGAGACACAAGCACTGGAGGTGAAGGGGGAATAGGACATGAAGTGGAATTTGATGGGAAACTGGGTGATGCTGCCTAATCTGTCACTGGCTGAAATACAATCAGCAGATCAAAGAAAGTTTCAAGCTGTGCCAATATCCTCAGACTTTGACCTGACACATTAATATGCCACAATAAATACCTACCTAGCTACCGGTAATCCCTGTCAAGTGAGTGTCAGGTACAGAGAGAGACCTGGGCACACAGACACTTTATGATTTCATTTTCCCATACTATGTAACAAGCAGTCGTCCAAGGCATACCTTTAAAAAGAGACTGGGATTTTTAACTTTAATTTTTAAAAAAGAGAGTTACATGGCCCTTGGGGTCCCTTCCAACTCTATAACTAGAAACTTAAACCTGTTCACTCATGGGGTGACCCAGTATGCTTTTGTTTTTGATTCCCCGCCCACCTTAATGTTGGTGGTATAGAATATTTTGCAAATGGAGAAGTAATAAAATAAAATAAAAAAACTTTGAGAGTCAGGGTCACCGGGACAACGATGGCTATATTGAAAAGTGATTTGCAAAACAAACCCAGATGGATATGCAAGCACAGACCCACAGAGAAAAGCCAGACAGATTCTGGGAATGGATTTCAGGAAGATATAAGCCCTTTTGACTGACAATATGGTAATGTTGCAACATCTTCAAATTTAATCTTTTCGTGCTCTAAACCCTATATGTGTACTGCACTCACAATCTGCATGTTTATCATGAATGTTCCATGACATAAAGCAAAGCTGACAGACTCAAAATATTATCAATGTAGCTTTTACAGTCCATACTGTTCTCATTTTCCATGCTTTGCTGGGTCCTTGTTCCGGATTTGATTGAAAGACGGTGGTCGGATTTTCACACAGGGTAGGCTAAACAGACTGTGCCTTTTGGTGGGCTTGTCAGAGATATGATTAAGCTTGTTAAAGTATATTTCCATGTATTAGCTAATATAGCACAAACTCGAGAGATTCCATTCAAGTTGTTCAGTGCTGATTGTTCATTATCAGTTATGACAATAAAACAAGCAACAGCTTCTCATTTGACATTAGTTTTGTAATAATACTTCTGGCACTTAGGAATGGTATTTCCTTAAACTTCTTTATAATACATCCTGCTGTGTGAAAATGGAATATCAGGCTTTCGGGGCCAATACAGAATATATATAATTATATTTTCAAAGCCAAAACATAATTTGTACTTGACATTGACATCCTGATCAGATATAGTTCCCCAGCTGCAGGGTACGCAGCTGGAATACCTTATCTGAAGGAAATACTCTGAAGAAAATACTATGTATCATATGCTTTGTGCTAAAATAATGCTAGTCGATAACTAACATGAATTGTGCAATGATGAACCATGTGTGCTGGGCTCCAAGGTCTTCAAAGGTGGCTTTGTTCTAGATCAGGCATAGGCAAACTTGGCCCTCCATATGTTTTGAGACTACAATTCCCATCAACCCTGACCACTGGTCCTGTTAGCTAGGAATGATGGGAGTTGTAGTCCCGAAACATCTGGAGGGCCGAGTTTGCCTATGCCTGTTCTAGATGCTACTGCCACTATCTGGAGTAAGATGGTCAGTGACAAAGATGAAGGTCTTCTTGGTGGTGGTACCTTCACTGTGGAAATTGGTTCCGTTTCCGAGTGGGACTAGGTTGCGCTTGGGCCACCAGGTGCCACCCCTGCCTCAGCGTGGGGCGGGGTAGCGTCCTGCGTCAAGCTGAGGGTGCCCCGGCCACGCTATTTGCCAGGCGACCAATCAGGGCGCTGTGGGGGTGTGGCTGGGGCCAATTTAAACCCTGGCACAACTCTGGGAGCTCCTCTTTCAGCCTCATGCTGCGGATCGCCCACCCTCCCACCCTCTTCTAGGTAGGGTCACTGGCCTTGCTATGGACTTCGGTTGGTCGCCGTTGAGGGGTCTGGTAGGACGTTTTCCACTTGACAAATTGGCACCAGCCACTTGGTTTTTGCCTACCTCATAGCAATCGTCACAACGTTGCAAGGTTTGGCGGTTAGGCATTGGAATAGCCATGTGTGGGGGAGGAGAGGTGCGGCCATCACCTGCCCCTCTGTGCTCAAGGGTATTCTCTTAAAGGAATCCAGGGGAGTGGATCTCGTCCGAAGCCTGGGGAGGGGCTAGGGCCATGCCACGACCCCAGCGGGAAACCAGGGGGGCTCGAGTCGATCTCCATCAGCAGGGCTCCCCCTACTGGTGGTTTACCCTTCCAGACTTCCTGCAAGGCGGGCAGGAGTCAGATATAGTTTGTTGATGCCAATGCCTATGCCAATACTGCTCACATTCTGTAACCAATAAAGTTGTGGCCTAAATTTTGCCCATTAACATTCTGTGTCCTTGTGTCTTTATTCTCCTGGGGATGGCTTGGGGGTCTTGAAGCGCAAATCATAGCTATACTGGGCTGAATTCAACTAACTGAATTGCAGAAGCCCATGCAAGTCCTTCTGCTAGAGCAAAAGGCTTTCTGCCCTCTCCTCTTCCTGCCCTCCAATTGGATCTGTGGGGTCAGGAGAACTCTCCCCCCCCCCAAACAGCACATAGGTGGAGGAGAAGGGAGATCATTACACCGGGCAAGGTGAAACGCTTGTCCTGACACAGTGATCTATTTCGCTCTACACTGAATACCTCCCACTGATTTCTGCTTCAAAGAGCTCAGTCAGTGCATGATATCTCCCCACCCCTTTAATATTCACAACAAACCTGTGAGGTAGTTTAGGTGGAGAGATAGTGGTTGGACCTCTGTGAGTCCTTCTAGACAGGTGCATATTGTATGCTGGTCTGTGACCATAATAAAGTACTTGACTGACTCACAGGTGCATATTGTGAGTTCACTGCCACTCGTGCACACAGAATGTCCACAGCGTACAATAATAAAGCCATAATTTAAACCATAAAATCACAATTAAATCAGCAGTGACAAACATCTATAGTACCACTTCTGAAAATCAATGCCAGTTGTTATCCAAAAGCATAATGTCAATTCTGACTACAGATCACTGGTGAAACCATTAAATAGCATGACATATCCCTTATGTCTTTCTGCTTTAGGGGCCAGGCTGTCCCGATCTGCAAATGTGGTGGGGTTCTCTCTCTCTGTTGCTCTTACTCTTACCATGCAACACACCTAGACAGCTCAGTCGGTACGAGTGTGCTGCTGATAACACCAAGGTTGCGGGTTCAATCCCTGTATGGCAGCTGCATATTCCTGCATTGCAGGACTAGATGATCCTCAGGGTCCCTTCCAACTCTATGATTCTATGAAGGCTGAAGACGCCATATTCAGGATTAATATAAGCCAGTAGTGGCCAAACTTGGCCCTCCAGATGTTTTGAGACTACAACTCCCATCATCCCTAGCCAGCAGAACCAGTGGTCAGGGATGATGGGAATTGTAGTCCCAAAACATCTGGAGGGCCAAGTTTGACCATCACTGATATAAGCAATGGCAAATGCATGTTCCCATTGGATTCAGCAGTTCCTATGAGCAATGAAGGCAACGGTGTCCTCCACATATTGGACTACAACTCTAAACATCCATGACTATTGTCTATGCTTGATGGGGCTGATGGAGTAGTTCAACTTCATATGGAGGGTACTAGCTTGGGGAAGGTTGAGCTACAAGTAAACCTGCCCTCGTCTCTCTGCACTCTACAAAACAGCATGATTCCCCCTTTCCTAGTCTGGCTGTGCCACAGCATAAACAGAGGACAGCTGGCCACATAGGAGCACTTATGGTTCCCACTGCAGTGCTGAGAAAGCTAATTGTGGCTCTAAAAGCACAATGTGAGATAACACTTCCATGTCCTATTACAGGGGTAGCCAATGGGGTACCCTCCAGATTTCGTTGCACTATAGCTCCCATCAGCCCCATGGCCAATGGTCAGAGGTGCTGGAAATTGTAGTCCAATGGTGTCAGGAAGCTGACGAGATCAGAGAAAGAAAGTGAAACACCGACTAATTTACAGTTGGTTTCTTTATTAAGGAAGCAGAACAGAGAACACACAGAGACTTCTAAGAGTTGCTCCAGTCTAGATGAAGCAGATGCTCAAACTAGCTTGGGAATTGGCCCTCATTCAGGTGTCCTACATGCAAGAAAATTAAATTCCTGCAGATCTGTTGTTAAAGGTTGTTGACAAGGAACAACTTCAGGTTTATGTACAGCGGTTGCAGTTAGGCTGAAATACTGCAGCAGCGGGTTACATGAAATGGGGGAGGATGTTGGGAATTCCATTCCTCCTGTGCTGCAGATGTGTGGGATTGTTACATGTCACATGTCTGTTTACATTCCAGCACTGATTATTGGAGTCTTGTGAGCGGAAAGGGAGATACGCTGTTTCCGCTCTGTATAGCCTATTGTTTTTGCAGTTCTCTCTCCGAGGAAGAAAGACAGAGAGAGAAGCCATGTTTTCTTTGTTCTGTTTGATTTAATTTGCAATAAATTAGGCTTAGATGTTACCTCCTCAAGGCTGAGCTTCTGTTTGGACTCTGCTAGTCGTGTGCTCATGTCCTAGGATATGGGTCACATCAACGTGACGGGAGTGATGAATCCCGGGTGATGCTGTGTTGTGGGGGAGGCACTGGCCTCGGCATTATCACCCAACAGTAACCCCCCCTTCACTCCCTCACCCTCTGTGTCAGGCTCCTCCCTCTGTCTATGAAGAACCTCAAGGGACCCTCTCTGTGCCTGCCTGGCTCTCTGCTCCACGACACTGCATTCTTGGGGCAGGGAAAGGTTGCAGGTTATCAGCAGAGAAGCTGTCAGGGTGGCTCTGTGGTAGATCTGCCAGGTCTGATTCCTGTCCCTATCTTGTGCTGGGGCACCTGCCTGTTTCCTCCTCTTCATCATCCTTCCAGCTCCCAGCCTCCGGTACTTCCCAGCTCTTCCCCTCCTCTGGGGTGTGGCCGGTTTCCCACCACCAGGAACCTGGATGCAAATCCTTTCTCTGTGTGTTTTCCTTGGGGGGCTCTTGGTCAGTCTTCCTCCTCATCCAGCCAGTCCCTGACTAATGGCATCTGGAGGGCAACACATAGGCTACCCCAGCCCTGTTGGCTTTCAGTTGTGGAAAGACTTGTTGTTTTGAAACACTGCAACATCCCACCACCTTCTTCATGATATAAAGTTTGTCTTGTATGCTGAGTATGGAATAGACCTAAATGTTGAGAATTGATACTTCCCAGTAAGTGCTGGTGCATCCAGTAGAGTTAAGTGGAGCACCATTCATCGGGCAATTGTCCTCGATCAGAAAGCTTCTCTCTTTTCCTTCTAAAATGGTGTGCTGCTACGATCCCTTAAAAGCAGGGGCTGGAAATTTATTGCTTGGAGGTGGTAGTTTTTTATTTTCCTAGCAGCACTTACTCTAGCCATGACCTCATCTTCAGCACAGGTAATTGGTTAGCTACTGTGCTGTAGACGTTGTTCTCCACAGGAAGCTGAGAAGTTACATTCTGGGATATGCATTTGTTCTCTTCTGCATTAGATTAATAACCAATGGGGGTGATGGTGATAAACTGTACTAACTTGCATGTCACAGAAAGTAAGATGCTAAAAAAAGAAACTCAAGCCCTTCAACTTGACTCCCGTTACAAATAAATGATTTCGAAAACTGAAGTATCCATGTACTTGCCACAAGTGGTGATTAATGTCCAAATTACATATGAATTCCCCTCGCTTTTTAAAAGCTAAAAGCACTTGTGGGAGGCTGTTCGTTTCAGTAACAAACTGGGCTAAGGAGGGGGCAAAGATGCTTAAACCTTTAATCTCTCACCTCAAAATGCCCTTCCCCAAATGCCCCTTTTGTCCTGCAAGATAAAATATATGGGTTAGGTATCAATATCTATACCTGCACAGGTGGAACCATACCTGAGGAGAGCAATGTTGACCTCAAAAGCAACTGGAGGGGAAAGGGTCAAGCAGCTCCTCTCCTCCCCCAGTCCTTCACTCAAAACTTTTTTTCCTCTCTTTGTTTTTAGAGTGGGTGGGGGATACACATGACTTGGAACCACATGTCGTTTAGGATTTCAGCCTTTGGCTGGAATAACAAATACATCCCGAGCACACCCACCCCCTAATGAGGCCGCGTGATTGGAAATTTAGTTCTTCAATAGCAAAGCATTCAATTACACCATCTCCTAAGGTACAATAATTACATGCACCATTCTCCTTCTTCAGACCTGCTCCTGAAAGAATCTGAAGAAGTATTTTTATTGCTATTATTCATAAACTCAACCAAGAGGACACAAGTTTTCTGATTTCCCACCCCCCTGTGAAAAAATGGAGTTTTAGAAGACCTTGAATCTTCAACCATTATGCAAATGTTATAAACTGCTTAAGGTATTTCATCTTATTATAATGCCTAACTGGCAAATCATCAAGTTAATTTGGAAAAAAATAATTTGTGTATGTAATGAAAAACTTTCGTAAGGACTTTGGTAATGAATTCAGCATCTCCCAGAACTTCCTACTTAATCGCATAAGCATTTGTTTCTATGAACAATTTCCATCTAGTTTATTAAGAAGTTCTCAGCAGGAGATCCTCTAATGAGAAAAGATGGGGAAAGATGAGGCTTACGGTTAAAGAAGAGTACCCATTGACAGTATGATTGTTAAAGCATAATGTTGCCTTGGGACCACTTCATATGTTACTTGGTTATATATCATTAACTTATTTTTCATGTGTCCGGTCCACACAAGTTTACCCATACATAGATATTGTTGAATGCCAATTCACCGTTGAGACAATCCCACTACTGCAAAAGCTACATTCTACACCAATTAGCTTAAGGTCAAATTGTATCTCTGTGTGCTCAAACCTCTAGTACAAAAAGTGAATTTATGAGCGCAAAAGAACCAGTTGAAGCTGCTCATTGTCCTGTGTTATCTCTTTCCTTGTTCAGTCAGTTTAAGTCCAGGCCATATTCCTGTGTTCAAACAGTGACCATGTTGTATTAGCAAAACCTGAACTTGAGTGTCAGATTTATTTTAGGAGACAAATTTAGAAAAGCAGTTGTGTTAGTTGCATTTTGCAAGAGGCTCCTAAGGCTGCAGTTCACCTCCAGCCTTCATCAGAGCTGTCCATGGTACTGAAACCACTTGCCTCCCTCACTTTGGGGTTGTGTGGGTAGATCTCAATGTTTGCAGAAATACCAAAAACAAAACAAAAAACCTTCAAAATAATACTCCAAAAGCAGTCCAATGCAGACTGAGAATGCTCAGTGGTTATGAATCGCTGACTATTGGAATAACAGAAAATTCTGAAAGGTGGTGTTGGCTTGCTAGAACACTGGAACTTTGAACAGAAGCACTCCACAATGCATCATTTTGTTAAATATGCCATTTGCTCTTATCAGCTATAGGTCTTCAGTAGGTCAAACTATAAGAAACTGTCACAAACTGAGTGTACATCCTTACATCTGACTTTCTTGTGCTTATCATAAATGGCCTAGTCTCTTTGAATGTACAAAGCTGATTAGATCTCACTGTTGGTTTGAAAATTATTTACTATAATATGAAGCAGGTACAAATGCAAAATTAAATTAATAAAGCAATTGAGTTTATTATTGACTTTTTTCAACTGGCACTTCCAGTAGAGATTCCAAATTAAAACCATTTTGTAAACAGACACCTTATTAAAGAAGGCACTGAACTGGCATGTTATTCTTTCCGTTGTACTAAATTTTATACCGTTATAACAAAGGGCTACATCCAATTATGTCTGCTCACGTGTGCAATGGAAAGCCACTTCTGCAGCAAGACTTCTGGTTTTTCGTCTCACCCCAAAGGTACTCTGAGTGTGTTTGTGTGCCCCAACCCTCTGCAGAAAATTGGGGCGGCACTGGGGCCGCAGGAGAAGGAAAGCAAGGAGAAACCCTGTTGTGTGAGAAAACAGCTTTAAATCTCACCCATAGTGCAGACCTTTGTCCTTTAAGCTGTCAAACATACTGGTGACATGAGCACTGACTGATATTGAATAGTGGCTGAATATTCCCAGTGTGCAATGAGGAGGGAATGACTAGAGGGTGAATCTTCCTCATCCTTGTGCCCTGCAATCCAGACTAGAATTGGCACTCCCACACCTGTAATTAATTAAAGAAAATCCATGACATACCCACAAGCATCACATTTAGCATAATGTATAGCTTGACCCACAGATCATTTATTACCAGTGATGCTAAGATCAAAATAGTTGTGCCTCACATTTTATTTAGTTGCTGCCAAATGCTCTGTGGTTTGAAGCTGGGGAAACTTCAAGGTTATAGGAATCTTCAAGAGTACAGAAGTAACATTCCTCAAGCACACAACACACAGCTATCTGAATTTAACCTTGTCATTCCCATGCACCTCGCCTTACAAATCTATGGCTGGATAGGCACATCAGGAAGACCAGCCTAAGCTATGCACCATCAGTCAACTTTGGGCTTCTGGTATTTTAGGTTTTTTAAAAAATTAATAAATACAATCTTCACATAAGGAAACAGGTAAAACAATGGGCTGCATGGAAAGCAAACAATAATACTAATTTTCTAGCTGAGTCTAGTCTAGTACTGTATAATTCTACATAAGTGGGTTTTCAGCACTTACTTAATGAACAGCAACCTTCTTATGTACAATGGGAGGTACATTTCTCAGCTGCATACAAGCAGAAGTATTTAGGCACATGAAGACGATGGATGTGCTGTGCTGTCCATTCCTATGTTGTGCAATTGAATTGATGCTTTTGAATTATGGTGCTGGAGGAGACTCTTGAGAGTCCCATGGACTGCAAGAAGATCAAACGTATCCATTCTTCAGGAAATCAGCCCTGAGTGCTCACTGGAAGGACAGATCGTGAAGCTGAGGCTCCAATACTTTGGCCACCTCATGAGAAGAGAAGACTCCCTGGAAAAGACCCTGATGTTGGGAAAGATGGAGGGCACAAGGAGAAGGGGACAACAGAGGATGAGATGGTTGGACAGTGTTCTCGAAGCTACAAACATGAGTCTGACCAAACTGCGGGAGGCAGTGGAAGACAGGAGTGCCTGGCGTGCTCTGGTCCATGGGGTCACGAAGAGTCGGACACGACTAAACGACTAAACAACAACAGCAACATAGGCTGCCCTCCTTGGTGCACACTAACTGGCAGCAGGTCTCCAAGGTTTCAGATGCAAGTTTCCCCCCAAGTCCTGTGTGGAAATGTCAGAGATACACCTGGGATCTCTTGAATGCAGACTATGTACTCTCCCCCCTAGCTACAACCTTTAAAGCTTCCTGTTTTTTCTTTCTATTGTCCCAAATGCTTATTCTCCAGCCCCTGTCACCTACCTATGAACATTCTGCAAGTTCTAACTCCTGTTTCAATCCACTGCTCCATTAGCACACAATCCCTTCAGTGATGAAAGCAGCCCATCTAACTGAACATGAGCGTCCTGGTCTCCAGTCAAATGTCTTTACCATTGATGCTACACACAAAGCTGGCTCATTGATTTATTAGATAACATTCAGCGGGAACATCCTGCCTGGGCTCAAATCCATTCCAACCCTAAGACTTGCAGCCTTAACAAAATTACGCAGGTGAAATAACGTAAGAATGAAATGCGGTCATGGGATGAACAAGGCATTGCCATGTGCCCAGAGGAGATTTATTTCAAACTTTGGCTGTATCTCACCATCTGAAATTATTATTTGAGTCAGTACTAGGGACCTGTAGGCAACAATCTGGCTAGTTATTTCTTATTAATATGTAGACATTTAATACGTCTTCTGCACCATCTCCCCCAGTTTCACTTGTTCTCTTGGGTCCGTCCATCCATCCATCCTTCTCATTTTGCCATCAGTTGGCTGAGGCACTACCAACTGATTTAACCAAGTTTGCACTTCACTTGAAACAAAGAAGTCTGTTTGGTTTTTTTAAACTAGAGTATTTGAAAACATTTTTTCCTGCTTTGTTTGTGCATTTTTACTCAACTGAAAAGGCTCCTAGAGCAGCTTACAAAGTTTGGTTATAAGGAAGATCCCACTCTCGGGCTTTCAACCTAGAAGACATGACACAAAAGGGAAAGGGATTAAGGGGGGGAGGAAACACCTAACACTAATTTTTATAATGGCCAGGTGAAATAGAAAAGGTTGTCTGTCTCTCAGCTGAGTGGTTAGAGTAGGTCTGTGTTCCTTTTCTGCCTTTACTGTAATCTGATGGCATGGCTGCTGCCAGGCGACAGGTGAGGGAGGGAAGAACTTGATACAGCTGACTTCTCAGCAATCCTGTTGGTGGCCCTGCTTCCATTCTCTCACTTTGCTGCAGCCCCATGGAACAGCTCTTGCCAGATGACAGACAGCTGAGGAAGAGGGAAAGTCTGACCGAGTTAGCTTTTCAGTACGGCTGCTGCGAATGACCCTGTTCTCTGCATCCCTCCTAACTTGGAGACTAAAGGACCAATGCTCCAGAAAATCAGATAATCAGAGAACCATAGAGTTGGAAGGGACCCTGAGGATCATCTAGTCCAACCCCATGCGATGCTGGAATACGCAGGGGATCAAACCTGCGACCTTGGCATTATCAGCACCACACTCTAACCAACTGAGCTATCTATAGAGATGATGAAGTGATCTTCCTGTCTGTGATGGAACGTTCATGACTGACATTTACAGACTAATAATAATAATAATAATAATAAATTTATTTATACCCCACCCTCCCCAGCCAGAGCCAGGCTCAGGGCAGCTAACACCAGTAAAATTACAATAAAAACATAATAGGAAAAAAACCCCAATTTAAAATACAGGTTAAAATGCAATTTAAAATGCATTTTAATGTCTCTCAGATGTACAAATGATGACTGGTGTGGGAGGTAGAAGATTCATAATTCTTTAAGTCAGAAGAGCCACTGGACAGAATGAAACCTGCATAAGTGGGGGGGGGGACAGAATGATGACACTGGGAGTAGACCATGTAACTTCCTGTGTTGTTAATTTGCAAAGTTACGGGTGAGTACTTGGATACAGGATAAGCTGGAAACTGAGATTCCCGCAGAGCATCCTATTATCCCCGCTGAGCGATCATAGAATAGCTGGAATCCGCACCTTCATTTTTCCACAGTCTAAAAGTCTAACATTTGACTTATAAGCCAACCCCCCATTCACTGCTGCTAGTAGGGTGCTCTTTATATTCTTTATCAGCCAGCCTTTGTGGGCAACTTAACACTCATTTGTACACACAAAGAGAGCACAGTGGGAGAGGAGAACAAAGACAGCATGAAAGGGAGAACTCGCAAGGCAGCAAAGGTTTGAAAGCAAGATAAAATGTGAGTGGCTACTCCCTCCTGTTTCTCTTATCATCTGATGGGGCTAAGTTTTTTTTAAAAAAAACAAAAACCCTAAATATTCCCTTTGAAGATAAAAGTAAATGTAATATTCTCTGCAGAGTAACAACTAAATAAGATCAAATGAGCTGGTCAATTTCAAACACCAATCACTGCAATACTATTAAAAATTCCAAAACTACCGTATTTTTTGCACCATAACACTCACTTTTTTCCTCCTAGAAAGTAAGGGGAAATGTCTGTGCGTGTTATGGAGGGAATGCCTACGGGTTGCATGCCTACGGATTTTCCTCCTCTAAAAACTACGTGCGTGTTATGGTCGGGTGCGTGTTATAGAACAAAAAATACGGTACTTGTTCAAGAGTAACAACTAAAAGCAAACCATTTAAACCAAAGAAGGCCAACGCAGAATCCGATGATGAGTTTGTTGAACACTGGCCCTAGTTTATTATGTATATTCCACTGGCAACACATGGATAATTATGAGTGGATCTGTTAAAATAAATCTAGGATAAGTGATGCTATGCTATGTGAGCATCTAAACAAGTATGGCATTTATACATCTTTTAATGCTGGTCATGAGAAACCTAGACCCTCAAGGATGGGAGAGCAAGATGGGACAGGAAAGAAGAGTTACCAGTTTAATTCCTGTTTATTTATATAGCATTATTGAAAATCAGTCAAGACATACATTTGATAAAGAGCAACATAACAAAATCTTGCTATGAAGAGTCTAAGTGTGGTGTGTGTGTGTGTGTGTGTGTGAGAGAGAGAGAGAGAGAGAGAGAGAGAGAGAGAGAGAGATCCATATATATGGAATCAGATAGATTGCATTTTAGACCTGCTTTTTAAACTGACAGAACCATGAAAAGTATAATAAGGCATTAAATCGTTTTATGGCAAAAGACTTCAGGAACCCAACCTGTCTCTTGAGATTCCCAGTCAATTGCTTGTGAAAGAACTGAGGTTGTACCTTATACTTGAAAGTGTCTACTGAAAAGGTAAAACAAAACTGGCTCTTTAATGGAACCTAAAGTGAAATATAAGCTTTAAAATTGGGAGTGATCCGTGTTCTTTAAAATGGCCCTGTAAATGCCACCAGCATATGAAATCACTTTATTCAGCACCATCAGTTGCAAAGGGAATGGGTTGTGCTGGTAGAAAAGGGAGGGAAAGCATCCTGTGTAATGCCTGCTTTAAAGAACAGTTTCAATGACACTCTTTAGGAGACCCTGTAGATGCTATTGGATGCCAGTTCCCATCAGCCCCAGCCAGCATGCCCAATAGCCAGGAATTATGGGAGTTGTAGTCTAGCAATGTCTGGAAGCCCACAAGTTCTCCAGGCTTGCTTTAGGACCTTAAACATTACAGGAATTGCAGAGCAGTCATTTTTCCATAGGTTCATCCTATAGTGTTGTTGCTGTAGTATCTAAAGGTCATGTGCCTGAGGCCAGTTCTGTGTCTTGTTCCAGACTGGGGAGAACCCACCCTAAACCCTAGAAATTAATAAATGGTAGGATTTGGAGTCTTTCTTCTTCTTTGGCAATCACTCGTAGCCGAGTAAGATTGTCTTCCATAAACACGGTTCTAACAGTGGGTTCGTAAGTGACTGTGGAGGCCAATTCTGGATCCACACGTCCTTCCACAGTGGGGACATAGGTTTCCGGGCATGAGTTGATCACGGTGAGGGTTTGCCAAACATGCCTTCCTTTTAGCATGTTTTTCCCTTTCATCCTGAGTTTGAACGTCTTCAAATCCCATGACATCTTTGGTAAAGGCTATTCTCCAATTGAAGTGCCCACAGGCCAGTGTTTCCCAGTTGTTGATGTTTACACTACATTTTTTTAAGATCTGCCTTGAGAGAGTCTTTAAACCTCTTTTGTTGCATTACGCTTTCCATTTTTAAGTTCGGAATAGAGTAGTTGCTTTGGAAGGCGATCATCAGGCATCCGCACAACATGACCAGTCCAACAAAGTTGATGTTGAAGAATCATTGCTTCAACACTGGTGATCTTTGCTTCTTCCAGTACACTGGCATTAGTTCACCTGTCTTCCCGAGTGATGCGTACAATTTTTCGGAGACACCGTTATTTGGGATGTGCAGGAAGAAATGCAAGCTGCAGAGGAATTCCTGGGTTAGCTAGAGCCATTGAGAAACAGTAAATGGCCATTTGCAATACAAGAGAATTGTCCTCCCACCCTCTTGCCCTGAGGTGCTGGGGATTTGGAAGGCTGTCAGGGTAACTAGCTGTGAGGTGACAGGAAAATGGAGTTTTTAGCAAGGTGTTCTAGGAAGAGGAAAGAAAACTGGGATCCATCTTGGGAAAGTTGGCTGGGAGAGATGCTTTGGACTCCATGGCTGCACTGCTGTGTGGGACAAGTCCCTCTTGAAATGACCATACTGTAAGATCTACACTCCCTCCATGCACACTGAAAATGTAAATAGGTGAATAAACCATATTTCTTAAAGCTACAACAGTCTCTGCCGTGTCCCAATTCTCCAAAGGAACACAAATCCTGGGTGAGTGTCTGGAACCCCCTGAAGTCTTGCAGAGAGTGGGGTAGCATCATACTTTTGTAGCAGTGTATTTAACACATCATGGTTGGGAGGCAATAACAGGGTGGAAAGGACCAGCATGACTGGTCCCATCCCACAGTGGCAGGTGACAGCAGTGCCATTGAATGTACACAGAGAAAACGGGTTCCTGTTCTGCTTCTGTAACATCTAAAGGAGATGTGGGAAACCTCTGGCCTTCCGGGTGTTGCTGAAGTGCAACTCCAATCAGCCCCAAGCAAGCAAAGGTTGGGGATGCAGCAAGCTATGGTTCAGGAAAGATCTGGGAGGCCAAAGGTCTCCCATTCTTGATCCAAAGCATAGCTGAACCACGTGCGACTCAAACTTTAGATGCCAGCCATGGATCTCTACAACTGGTGTGAAGTGTGGTTTGGTCATCAGCATGTCCAAGGGCAATGGAAGTCTTTCAGTGAAGTCAGGGCTAAACATGTGGAATTGGGGGAGAAGTTAACAGTGTGTACAAAGTGTCAGGGGAAGCTGAAAATAGGAATTCCTATCCTCATGGTGAGCAGTGATTGAAAAGGCTCCTGCATGTTATTCAAGGAATATCAGGGTCAAGGTACAGCAGGCATTCCTTTGTTAATCTCTATTTGAGGACTAGGTGGGGGGTTAGCATTTGCCTGGTCCATGACCTGTTTAACTGATAGTGGGCTTCCCAATATCAGGTGAGCCCATGGAGCCAACTCCATGACATACCTTTGTGTCCTTAACAGGTGTTTGGGAAGTCCTTTTATCATGGCCCAAACATTCATTTTTCTACAGAAACTAGATTACTGTAATCAAATGGAAACCAAGTACAAGTTGAACTGATGGCCTTCTTGATGATAAGTGATAGCCTGATTGATTTCTGTAAGCTACTGTTTTGTTTGGGGAATGTATCATAATTTGACTTCTTTTTGCAAGGGCTTCTCCCCCATATAATTTAGTTTGGGATGAAATGTCATTTATCATATTCTATGGAGTGTCCTCAGCAAACACACTGAGTTACTTGTAGATGCTCACCCTTTCTGATTTCCTAAATAGAAAACCCATTTCATTTTTCTTTATACACTATAAAACATTTTTCGTTGGATCCAGACTTTGCTCATGGTGGCAGAAAGGGGCAGGTGACTTTTGCCAGAAAGTACAAAAAAGAAATAATAATATCTATATATGGAGGGAGCCAGTGATGTGAGCAGTGGCCCCAGCCTTGCCAGTCCCTAAACAGTTCTGCAGGCAGGAGGTCAAATCTCCTCCTGCTTCTCCCACATAAAGAAGAAGGGAGAAAATACATTGTGGAACTGCTAATAGGGCACTCTAAATGTTCTCAGTTACCATGTTTCACACTTTTGCTTCCACCCTAATCCTTATCGCTAAAGTACAGCAACCTTCTCTACAGTGTCCCAGTTTCATTGCCGTAGCTGATGGATGGAATTTCTTCTGAGAAGGTAATCTGCCTGTCCTATCAGTGTTTGATTACCCACCAGACATCAATATTTTTGTTGCAAGGATTTTGGCAAGCAAGCTGCTACAAATTGAGCTGGAGGAATAATTTCCACCATATTTTTGTCTGCATTTACTGCAGTTTCGCTCAACTTTACTGAGATATCTCCCCTTGCAGAATCCATCCTTTGCAAAGAGGTGGCAGTTTATGCCATTCAGAAATGGATGACTGGGCTGCAGGATCCACTTTCGGAGGAATAAAACAGTTCTG